AAAAATGGTTGCAAACACGAAAGTGGACTTTTTAAAGGAGCATTGGCTCTGCCTGCCTGGCTGGGGCCAGGGCCTCTCTGGTGTACTGCAGAAGCAAGAGAAGACTGGAACAAGATTGGGTGGGTGACAGCTTTCTCCCTGAGAGACAGTCACATCTTGATGGAATAACCACTGATTTGCCTGAGCTGGAACCTGGCCCAGCCTGGTGTAGTGAAGCCATGGGACCCGAAAGACCTAAATTCCAGTCCTGGCACTGATACAGCTACAGTGACCTGTGACAGGTTCAGTAGCTCTGAAGATCAGCCCCCCACTGACCCTGTGGGAGTCCCAGAGGCTTGCTGCCTAAGTGCAATGTCCCAAGACAGTGAATGTAGGGGGTCACCCAGGAGTGGAGGGATCCTCTGATCCTCCAATCTTGATTGTTGTGACAATGCCATGGTTGGAGGTTCCCAGGGGCCAAGCCCTGACTGAGATCAACTGAAACTTCAGATCCTGGCCCTTTCCACATTCATGCACTCCCTCAAGGAAGATTTCCACAGTGCCAACTGTGTGGCTACTTGAGGCCAGGCTCCAGGTTGGCGACTTGGAACACAGTGAAACTGACTACTCCCTGTCCTTGGGGACTAGTTGGCAACAGTAACTACCCATGTGCCAGTAACTTCTGAAGGAGCCAGAAGGGACCCAAGGATAGAAGGGCTGCTTCCAGGGGTCCTCAGGAGTATACTCTCCCAGCAGGTATAAGCCTGACATTGACAGGACAGGAAAGAGTGGCAGCCAAGGTCAGGAGGTCATCCTGAGCAGAGAAGGCTGCCAAGAATGGCATTGAGCTTGCTTGCAGATCTGAAACAAGGTCTAAGAGACTGGGAAGAGTGTCTCAGCAGGGCAGAAGGTGGGGTGGGGCTAGGCTCCAATCTCCCTGGCTTTATAGCCATGAGACCACAGTTATGACTTGAATTCTCATTCTGAAAACAAGGAAAAGGCACAGAGGGGACAGAGTAAGTAGATGGCCAGGCTTGTGCTTTTAACAGATGGACGCTGGGCGAAATAGGGATATGAGGTGAGGAGGGCAGAACAGCCAGGAGGCCATAGCAGCCACTGGGCAAGAGATGGGCAGCTAGGTCATGGCCATGGCCCTGAGATGGGAGCATGGTCTCAGGGCAGCTCAATCTTGTGGGAATTGGAAAAGCGCCCCCTTCCTCCAGGCAGCTGTAGCACAGGCACCACCCCTCTAGCCCAGCAGCCAGCACAGGTATCACCTGCAAGACTCTCACCCAGAGGCCCTGACAAGAGGGACCTCAACCTCCTACATGAGCACATTTGGGCTTGCAATGTTTGTGATACCTGAGAAATCTCAGGTTTTGAGACAATGTCAGCTGGAGGTTCCTTCTCTCCCTGTCTAGCCACTAGCCTCCTTACAGCATGCATTGCATTGTACTGGACTAACCTTGTGAAGAAAAGCACTGTTAAAAATCTCTGGACGCTAATGGTATGACAAGACCATTTAGCACATAAATAAATGCAAAGCCTAGAACATCTGCAGCCAAAAGGAAAGCAAATAATGACAGAACGTGAGTCATGGCTGTGCTTGTCTAATAGTTTGTGAAGTCTGTAAACAAAGTGTCCTCCCAAAGTCAGAGCTGGGGCCTGGGAGTTAGGTACTAATTAATCAGCCCCCAACTCTTTAACATATTGAAGGATACGCGTGTGTCTTGTGAGCAGAGCTCTAGGGCAAACTTAGCTCACTGGATGTCTCTTCTTTATCTGGGGGCCACCTGAGGCCAAAAAAAGCATATCCCCATAAAGACAGAGTATAGTTCACAGAGCACTCATTCACCAATGTCAAACAAAGCTTGACATCCTGATGTTTGAAGATGAGTACTAATGTCCAATGAGTCCTTCTCCCAGGGGCTGGTCACTTTCTTTCTTGTGGCAGCTTTTAGGGAAACCCCATGTTATCGCCTGACCAGTTGCTCCCCAGGACAAGGTCAATGCCTCATTCTTCTCTCCTATATCTACTACTTGACCCCAGCTGTGGCAGGTGTTCATTGGCTATCTCTTAGGTAAGACATAAGCATGTTTGCCAAAAGGCTAATATTCACCTGTAGCTGGGCTTGCAAGGGTCCTATTTGTCCAGACTGTGGATGGACCTAAAAGGGAGCTGGGTCAGGGGACAGGTTGGGCTTCAGGCTCCGGCTCTGCCACTCACAAGTGTGTGTGTTATATCATTCATTTTGGTGTTCTCATCTTGAATCACTTTGTGTGTGAGGTGAAGGGAAAAAAAGTACCCAGCAGGGTGCTTTGTCAGGGTGAGGTGGTTTCCATCACATGTTGCAGAAGGACATGCAGGGTCACAGGGAAGAAACAGTCCCTAGCTCACTCTCAGAGAGCTGGGTGCGTCAGCAGAGTGAATCAGGAGGGAGAATGAGTGACTGCAAAGTCACAAAGGAAAAATAACCAAAGTTGTGCTCTCTGCACAAGGAAAATGCAGAGCAGGGCACAAACTGAGAGCCAGATAACGTAAATATGTGAGCAGCCTGTGACAAGGCAACAGGGGACAGAGGAGCCAACTGGACAGGACACTCATGCTCTGCCTAAGGCATCGGCGTTGAAAGATTTAAAACACATGGCCCCATCAGACACGACAACATGCATCTGTGGCCTGTGGGCTGAGAGCCTGAGACCTCTGCAGACTGTCACATTAAGCATGTCTTTTTATTCTGATGACAGCTGATGCTGACATTGGAGGGACCGTCTTCCATGGCCAGCCAATTCTAAGTCACAAACAATTGGAGTGAGCCCTCCATCTGCAAGCCAGCCAATCCAAGTCAGCCAGTCTGGAGCACATAACATTTATAGGACACCTCCTTTTCAAGCTCTCACACTTGGGGCCACCATCCACCAGCTGCAATCGCCCCAGGGCCAGGAACCAGACAACTTGGGACTGTTCTTATGTCCCAGGGCCCATTGAATAATACAAACTAGCCAACACCAAGCATGCTGGCCTTGCTTGCCTGCCCCAAGGAAAGCACAGTGAAGGACCCTGTCATGTTTTCCCTTTGCTCTGCCTCCTAATGGCACCCTGGTGCATCCCCATGTGGCCTTCACAAGTGTGCCCCTCCTCATGGGAACTGAGTAACAAACTATTTTCAGTGGCCATTGTCTTGTGACCTGTTGGCCTCACTACACAGAATAAAAGCTACATCTACAAATTTCACTGGAGCACGAATGACTACTTTACACACACACGCATATGCCCCAAATCCTGGCACCCAGCAGCCCCTAGCACGTTACAGACCCAATTTCAATATTAATCAATGGAAGGATGGATGGATGGATAGATGAACGTAAGGATGAAATGAAGGGCTGTATAGAAGCATTTGTTTGGTTGCATGGATTCCCTACACTTCAGTCAGTTTTGCAATTGCTTCAGGGCACTGAGTTGTGAAAATGCCTATGTTCTGTCATTGGTGTAAATGCAGGTGGTCAAACAGGAGTGAGTGGAGGAGGGGGACTTTTCTTTAGGTAGACAATCTGCTGGCTAACTCAAGCTGTTTCCTTTATTCAAGGAATAAAGAGTTTGCCATCTAAAAGGGTCTCTGAACCCAGTGGTAAAGGGGAAAGTCAAAGAGAGGCATCTTGTCCACGCCCATCTCTCCAAAGTGAGCTGGCCCTGTGCCCTGCATCTCCTTCCATCTGAAGTGGTGTGGTGGGCAATTCTGCACCCCTGCATGCCTCTGGCCAATCAAGTGAAAGCTGAGCTGGAGAACCTGCACTGTTTTTAATCTTTACTCTTCAAAATGCATCCATCCACTCTGCTTGGCGATGGCTGTATTTCTCTGGTGACAGGGCCCTTGGGTGTCCTTCTCAGCATCACTGTCTCATTCCCAGATTCTAGAGAGAGAGGCAGAACAAAGACCAATGCAAGGAGGCTTGTCTGGAAAGTACCTGAGGAGGGTGAGCACCGTCTGTGTTTGCTGTTCCTGATGGATGCTCAGCCGGTCACTCAGCTCTCTGCAGTGAATGGTTCCCCCAAAGCCATCCATTCCCCAGCCCAAGAGGGAAAGACAGAAAGGATTCGATCGTGGTGAATGGAGAACCAGGCCTGGGAATCAGGAGACTGCATAATAGGTCAAGATAGGGGAAGGTCACCAGAGTCCTCAGTAGGGTGACTGTGCAAACACCTTTACCCAGGGCATCATCCCAGCATAATTATTAAACCCACACCCCTCCCCTCTTCTCTCTTCCAAGTGTCCTGGCTTGATGGATAAACTACACAATCACCTCAACATAAGGGAATTTTGCAAACAGGAAAGGCTGAGTCAGGAGGCTCACAAGCAACAGAGTCTTACTGCTTTGTTTGTACAAATTGGAGTTTGAGGCTTAAATGCTGGAGAAGGTCTGCAGTAACACTGAGCCTGCAGTTGGCAGTGACATTAGCTGAAGGCAGCTGAGCCTGACCTGGGGCCCTGCTGGGCACCTCTGTACACAAGGGGTTACCTGGGCTGGCTGAGACCACCCAGACCAAGCAGGCTCCCTTGCTGGAGCTCAAGCCGGAGTTAACAAGACCAGCAAAAGCAGGAACAGAGGAGAAAAGGCTGTGATTTGTCCCCAAATGGGCTAAGAGAAAAAGGATATCCCCACTAACTCCACTTGTGCCGCAGTCCCATTCAACACCACCTGGGGCAGTCATGGCAACCTGAACACTTTCCTCTTTGTCTTTTTTTCCTTCCTGGTTGAGATCTTGCTTCTGATGAGTTTAACTATTATTACATGTGTTGCATGAAATGTCATGGATTGCGGCAAACCCAAGATCAACCCACTCACAAGAAATAATAATCATTTGATGCCATGCACTCTCAATTCCCCAAACCTTTAGCAGCTGTCAGTGATTCGTTTTCTTTTTCCAGCACTGAGTTTGCTCTCAAGAAGTACGTAACCCAAAAGGTGACTGATAGACAATCTCCACTCCCTGAGTTTGTCAGATCAACTCATTTTTGAGAACTTTGCCAAATGAATCTGTGGACATGTACAAGAGGCAGAGAGGCACAAGAGGTCAGAGAGGCAGGGCAGAGACTTACAAGGTCAAGGTGGCTGTAGTTTCACCTTGTGCCCTCGCATGAAGTTTAATCAAACTTAAAATGCTCCAAGTGTCCAGTGTTGAAGGAATCTCATTGGCTTTGTGAACTGAAACTTCAAAGCTATTTGTTTTTTATGTAAGATTAGCCATCATGCAAAAATTACTGGTCAAGCAGTTAATAAAATACACATACCCCCCGAAGGGTTTTGTACATTTCAGTCCTTGCACATGACAAAGCAATGACAACCCCACACAGTCCTGAGGGTACATCCCTTCGCTCCATGAGGGTGGAGGTGGCAGTCCTGTCTCGTCAGGCTCATGTGTTGTAAATTCTGGAAGCTCGCTTAGCTGCAGTTTGAGCATCCGGTGGCTGTTCTTCCTCTTCCTCAGTTCGCTTGTGTTTCAAGAACAAGTCAGACTTTAAGAAGCGGCTGTAGCTGTCGTACTTCATGAGATTGAAGATCTAAGGAGAACAGAAAGAGTCTGACAGCTGGGGCTAATCCAGACCGTGAATCAAATATCTATGAAATACCTACCATGGGCCAAAGAATACAAATAATGTATAAAAACACAGAGAGAAAGCTGAAGTGTAGGCCTCTGCTGGACAAGGCAGATCTCCTGGATGCTCCTGGTCATCGCACAATAATCCCAATGGACTCTGCAGCTTAGAGGCACGTGAACAAATGCATCTTTCTTTTTCCATGGAACTACAGGTTCACGCAGCACTGACTCATACCCTCATATTCAAAGGTCCATTTAGACTCTCCACTGTGTTTGTACAAACACAGACCTGTGTTTCTCTGAGAGCTGGAGGTAGCAGAGTAGAAACATTTTCTGCAGGGACATGGGGTCAGAGGTCACTTAAATCAGATGATCTCAGTATTATGAAGACCCCCAGTAAGCCTGGCACTGGAGATCTCAAACCTATTATCACACCAAGAAACAAAAGGAGCTTATTCAACACAGGACAAAGAAGGAAACTTTAGTCTTGGCCAGGAGAGGGTACAGAACCAAGTCCTAGGACAGAATTTGAGCTCCTCTCTGGTCAGACAGTCTGAGATCTCTAGAAACAGTTCTAATGCATGTCCTTGGGCTTAGAGGTGTATAACCTACCAGTACTGCAGGTGCCCCCAGGAATGTGCTCCCCACTTCCGCACAGAAGGTTCTCCCAGCTGCACTGGACCTCTCTTCTGGGCCACAGTCCCTGTCTCCATCATCCATTCCTACCCAATCCTGTGCCACCTGTCATCCTCCCTCAGCCTACCACATGGGTAGGGAACAGAGAAGCAAAAAGGAGTACATTTTCCTGTTGTCCTAGGGAACAATCCCTGTTTGAGAAATTCCTCACCCTTCATCTCTCTCTCTCGCTCTTTGACCTTTCAGCTTAACTTTCAGGACATTCCACAGGCTGATGGCCACACAGCAGGTCAAGGTGCCTTCCCTTAGGCACTAATACAGGTTCCATAGAGTGGAAAGTTCCTGAGGTGCCTGGAACACTGCTCACTGCCAGGCAGGGTTGTCATGTGGGTGGCAAAATCCTGACATCTTGTAGACCTACCCTCTCCCAACAAAACAGACTGTTTAGTAAATTAAATGTCAGATAGATTGTAAGTTCTCAGAGCATCTGCTTGGGTGAGGAGGGGTTATCGGGACAGAAATGCAATGTCCCAAACTGCCTAAATCATTTCAGTATAAGCAGAGCCACCCGCAGGAAAGAGTTGGGACACTTGGTTTTCCATAAACTGTTAACTAGAGCCAGCCCCATCCCTGGTGTCCCTCCAGTCTTGCCCAAGCTCTCAGACACCTATTTTGTGGGTAATCCTAAATGTGACTGTTAAATGCTTAGGTATAAAGAATTCAAAACAAAACACAAAGATCATAGCCAGGGGCAAGGCTGGGACAAAGAAGGCCATTATCCTTAATGGTCTCTCCCAAATGTGCTAAGCAGGTGTCACTGTCCCTCCCACCTGCTGTTGTTCAGCCCTTCCAAGCACAAGGAAGTTCCCCCAGAGGGAACTGTTAGATGCCCACCTGGCTCAAAGACCAGAATACATGCTCAAAGTATGACTGATGAAACCAGCTTCCTGGGAGCCCCTCCTGGCAGGCAGCCCCGTACCCCCTCCCACACCTGGGTCCTCTGCAAATGGGACGCACCACTCGGAGCAGGATGCAGTGCACCCCGCGTCTTGTCTGAGGTCTCCGTGTGTGGGAGAGGAACATCCTGTTTGCCTGCAGTGGCTCTGGGGCTCAGACTTCAAAGGAGAGAAGTAAAAGGGTTGTGCTGGAGGCAGGGAGGTAGAGGTGGAGGTGGAGAGAGAGGCTGTTTCTGCTGAAGGTGATGCCCTGGAGCTGCACAGGCCTCAGGAAATCCCAAGAGGTACAGGCTCCTCTCCCCACATGACACCCACTGGTGCCAGCTCCATGGGGGGGAGGGGACTGTGAACTATTTAACAAGAACACAAGGGCCACTCCCTACCGAAGGCAGGTGTGAAATGCCCTGTAAGTCTAGAAGTCCCTCAGGCCAGGGCTTCCTGTGCCAGGGCCCTCACCACCCCTAGGGGCAGCAGAGACACTGCAGGCAGCTGTGGCCATCAGACCGACACGGATTTCATCTTCCTGGCGGTGCCCAGCCTGATGGCTCTCCACTGGATCCAGAGGTTGGCTTCCCACTGCCCTGGCAAAGAGCCTCCTGGTACTGGCTGGGAGATTGTGGCAGGATCCCCCACTGTATGTCCCCGTGGACAGCAGAGAAGTTGCAGAATGCCCCAAACTCTCTCCCAAGAAAGAGGCCAAAGACAGTGTGCCCTGCTACTGACTGCAGTCTACCTTACAGTAAATCACCATGACAGGGTCCCATGTCTACCAGAGAGTGACCAGAAGCCTCCCAGAATGCCCAGCAGAGTGCAAGTGAAAGGAACCAGGCCAGGACCAGCACTGCCAGGAGGCCCCGAACTGTGTACCAGGCAGCAGATGGAGTGTTCTCTCACGTACCCACCACAATGCACCTGAGGACCCTGATTTTCCAGAGGAAGAAATGGGGGCTTGGGGCTCAGCACTTTGCCCAGTGGTAAGCGTATGGTCAGCTCTGGCTCAAACAGATCAGGCATCTCCTCATGGTTCTGGAGGCAGAAAGTACAAGGTCAAGGTGTCGGCAGGTTGGTTTCTTCGGAGGCTTGCAAATAGCTGACTTCTCTCTGTGACCTCACATGGCCAACCCCTGTGTGTGTTTGTGTCCTAATCTCTTCTTACAAGAACACTCTTCTTATAAATCAGGTTGGATTAGGTCACCTATATGCCTTGTTTAGCTTACTTATCTCTTTTTAAGGCCCTAACTCCAAATACAGTCATATTCTGAAGTCCTGGGGGCCTCAGTAGATGAGCTGGAATTGGAAGGAGGGGTGCGAAATTCAGTTCATAACAGTGAGTGAGGGACAGGTGGGATGCCAAACCTGTCCCTGGCATGTTAGCTCTCAAGCCCACACTCTTAACTGTTAGGCAATACCGCCACTCCCATGGCAGACCAATAAGAAGTCATTAAAAATGAGGTCTGCGAAGAGTTGAGTGTAGAAAACTGTCCATGAATGTCAAATGACTGAGCACTAAATTTTAAAAATGCACTAAGTTTAAAAACAATGACCCCCAAATATGTTCAAGAGTGTGTTTATAGGGTGGCACACACTTGTAATCCCAGCACTTGGGAAGTGGAGGCAGGAGAATCTCAAGTTCGAGGCTAGCCTGGGATACATACCAAGGCTGCGTCTCAAAAAAGCAAACACAAAGAAGCAGAAAAAAAAAACGTGTGCTTGTATGGAAGAGTGGGTTGAGTAGAGTCCCTACAAACTACGTCCAACCGGAACCTCTAAATGTGACTTGACTTGGAAATAGGATTGGTAAAGGATGTCACGGTGAAATCATCCTGC